GTAGTTGCTTATTTTCGGATTTCTATATTTTTTTATCAAATTTAAATTTAGTAGTTTCTAATTTTCTGTATTCAACATTTTCGTTTCTTCCACCTAGATCGGTAGGTTTTAAACACAGAGCAATAGGCCACAAGACACCAACGTAACTGAATCACAAACGGATCTTGAAACCCCTGTACCCCCATTCTAAAAATTGTTATGTCCTGCTGAAATAATTGCTACCTTCAGCGCTTTACCCGGCTGCAAAAACCTCCTTGGTAAAACCACCAGACAATAGGTTTGCAAACACAAGAACCGTGGTTTAGGCAGCTGTCTGCTGCTGCCGACTTTATGTTGGCACTGCTTGATATGAAAATTCGTGTGATTGGCTCACGCAGACACAGAGCTTTCGTACATTCATAAGTTGACCAATATGCGAAAAAGCCGCCAGTAAATATTACACGCAATTGATTGTAAACAGCTACAAAATGTATCCTAGTCATTTCTGTCGATTCCAAGATTAGAATGTATTACTTCTTTTGTCAACTTCTGTACTCGGAGAAACGCCACCAACATACGCGATGCAGGCAAGCAGCCATGTATGTTAGGTGAGGTACATGCTATCGGTTACTTTCATATATACACTACTTAGGTTTAATAAAACTTTACTTACTTTACTGTATCCTGTTTAAATCGGTGGAGTATTCTATGTACCATTGTACACCGGCACGCACACACTTATAGCTAGCTAGACCGAGATTCAACCTACCCATATCGAATGGCAAAAGAAGATACTATTATAGATACGGTACTTTTAACGACCGATGTGTGCAAATTGTGCTATTTTACAATTGGAAAAACCTGTGAGACATTTACTTTAACGTTAATAAAACGCCCTAAATCACGAACGTTGTTGTGATGGCAATGTCGATGAATTTAAATTTGCAGATGAATGACCGAGTGCTCACGTCTGAAACTTGCAAGAAAAAATGCAAAAGAAGCAACTTATTTACTTTTCACGCCTGATAAAACCGAAACGAAAGACTGTGAGACTTCGTCATATCCGGACCATGTTTTTTGCCGAACCCAAACAAAGAACATATGGTGTGAGTTTTTTTGCAGCTGTACACAGTCAGTGAGAAAGTTGTTAGACATAATTTCCACAGAAGAGTACACCTGGATCCAAGAAAGGTGGAAACTCATAATCAAGCTGGCAAGCCAGACCTGTGGGTCTCACAGCGTGGTTTATCTTGCTGAATCAGCTTCAGTCTGACCGTGTGAATGTATCTGAAATATTTCGCATTTCAGCAGCAAAATCTTATACGGCCAATGTAAATACACAATGATACTATATTTCATGCTGAATTAATACTCTCTGATAATATATACTGCTAAAATTTATTATTATTCACCATTGTTTTTGAAGGTTGTGGGACCTAGGGCAGATATTAACTTCACGTTACAATAGATACCTAGCCAACTTCCAACTCAATCTCTACAATAATTCTACACCAATACTACCATGAGAACAAAATACGAATTGAAAATATGAATATCAAAAAAATGTTCACCTTACACTATGAAAAGCATATAAACCCTTTTAATCGTTTACGTGCTCGTAAGACTATGTTATATATGTCTGATAAACTATTTGTACAGAAACTGGTATTGGTCTAAAAAGAAGTTTTCAAGCTCCTCACATGGAGAGAACTGACGAAATCACACTGTAGATAGCCATCCAGATCCCAAACATAGACGTAATTTCGCTAAACAAACTCTGGGAAGCAGACCGAAATGGGGAGCCGGCCTTTCCTCAGCAAAACCCCACAGAAAAGCCATACTCTAGCAGTACGTTTAGATCTCCGTGACTGGACTGCTGCTTCACAAACCATCGCTCCCTCGAACCATCTGTTCTGAATTCAACCATACATTTATATATTGACCCGTTTACACCAAGTTTCCTTAACTCCGCTAAAGAGCCTCCGAGATAAATATTACGCAAAAAGACTCCAGACGTCAGCAAGTTGGACAGTTGGAGGGCAGCCAGCTAAATGCCTGCTCGTTATATATAACGAGCGTACGGAAAGCTGCACAGCTAGCAAAGAAATCTGTAGTACAGAGGTGTCCTTATATACGACTCTACGGTACTATTTTTTTAAATGATGCGAAAAACATGCGAAACAAGCTTAGTCTAAACTGAACCACATTCTAGATAGTAGTTGCCCAACTGCAAATATCTGCTATGACTGACTTGACATAGTTAATCACGTTGCCACGCACGAAGCAGAGACATGATGCACTGAGAAAGTACTGTATGCTTCAGCCTCCGTTTGCTATACACTTGTAAGCTAATGTGAATCACAATTAAGCATAGCTATTCTATCCTGATAATTATAATTGCAATTACATTGCGAACCAAGCCCTACTGATGTGATTATAGAAAAGGAAATTGCATCATCAATGACTGCCTTTATAGTAGAGATTTCCAAGTATTGATGGATTGGTATAGCAAAGAAATACCATTATTGGTCAGTCACATTATTTTTGTTTAGTTTCTTGTTCACCTTTATTCAGTTTTATTGTTCATATGTTTTGATAATTTTCGCTGTCTTGTTTTTGCGGTTTCCCATGCTCACCATCCACTGTGGCAACCAAGTATATTATAATAATGACCCATCTGCCTACTATTAGTATTACATTTTCTTTTGAGGGGTGGCAGACTTTGATAACCTGCGGGTTCTTTCGCCACTCCTGTGCTTCCTTTGTAAACTAGATTAACTATGACTTGTATATTTCCTATTTGCCGCTGTACACTGTATATACACTACTTATGCACAAATAAACATCTTGAATCTTGAATAGAACCTATACACAAAACCGTCTAGAATGAGACAGTACTCCCCATTTCTAATCGAATGGATTAGTAAGAAACTTGTTATTACTCGATTCGACTCCAAATTTCCCATTATAGCTAGTACTTTAATAAAAATATTAACCAATTGATAAAGAAGAGGTGACACACACAGTTTCCCAAATGTAAAAGCTATTAAGTTTTCAAGGTCCTACTTCACTATCTCTTTGTTACGTATGATACTAGACAATAGTAAACCATATGCTTGCTAACTACTAGTAATTAAATCGACTACGTCACGAATTTTCTATGGTAAAATTTGTAAAATTTTTGTTGCCATTTTTTTACATTAAAAGTTAGAACTAACGGGACTAAACGTATCATCAAATTCTTACCTGATAAGATTGTTTCTCAACTAGTTAAAAATCCAAAAAACCAGGACGATTGGATATTAGTGTTCCTAACATTAATTGCTTGCTATGGGCTATGTATGAGTCACGAGTGTATGTTCACATCGAACAATAATGCATAGTATAATGCAGCAATTTAACCATAAAAAGTGAACTTATATTTTGAGAAAAAGTGGAAATGAATTTTTTTTTTTATTATTATTTACGGTGACGTAATCACTTTAGGTGATAGCCATGTTTTCTTTTATGAGCATATACTAATCCTCAGTTGGTTTTGTGTGCAATCCAGGGTTCTAGACAGCAAAACTAGGAAATGAAAGCACTAAAGAATTTTTAGCAAACTCTCATCGAAAGTCTATAAATAAATTTGTCGTATACCAATATCTTCAGGAAAATCGACATTGACAAGTCTCAAAAATCTCTTAGGATTCCGCGAACAAATTCCATCAAAGCTCACATTTATCATGTTAAATTGTTTCTATATGTAATTTAATCAATTTCAATATAAACCTAGGAAAATGTTGCAGATAAAGTTAATGCTCTTGAGAAATCAGGCAGCTTGATCGCAGGACCTGAATTTATGCAAAGTGACCGCAGTAAATCTATAGCAGGCGCATAAGCCAGAGTAATGAGTGACAGTTCAATTGGTCAACTTGCGCCTTGACATGTTGGCCAACCTTAGCCGATGCAACATTTGCATAAATGAGCACACAAAATTCACACGTCGGATAAAGAAATCCCGTATATTTCCAACTGGAAGTGCCTGGAATGCCCTGTGAATTGCGCACGTACACTAGAGTTATAATTTAGGTGATGCAAGTCACAGTTGGAATACCTACCGCGTTTTAAGTCCGAACAAATAACTGTATTTAAGAACAGTTCACAATGGCACTTGATAGATTTATGTTTGGTAAGTTCATATAGTAGCATATAGAAGGTTACCATGTTTATTCATAGACTAGTAGTATAATGAATTCATACATACGACGTTACGTGATAAATCTTTTAAAAATACGTTGTGAATGGTATTATATTATTCATATATTCTTAAATACGAATAGTAACGTGGTGCCACCTGTTGCTAGATAATAGCCGCGTTCACACGTAGCAAGAAATTCGGTATTTAGCGTTTACAGGAGGCAAAATGCGCGGTCCAAGAAATACGGAATCTGAACAGATCCGGTATTTGTTGTAATACGCGGCTTCCCAGAACACGAATAATTTGCCGTGCTTGAGAAATACCAGATCTCTTGGACCGCGCATTTCCTCGTGTGACCGCTAAATACCGAATTTCTTGCTACGTGTGAACGTATTTCTGAAGCCGCGTATTTTATAGACTGGTCCGCGCTCGATGGTTCCAGTGTAATGCGAGTGGAACGGTCGAGCGCGGACCAGTCTACGTATTTTATCGGCAGTTGGTGCACACTGCATTGTTTATTTTGCATTGTTTGCTTGATTGTTACTAAAACAGCTCGTAGCTCGCAAATACGGCATTTCTAGAGCCGCGAATCAGCGTGTGAACGCTCGGTCGCGTATTTGTCTCAGATTCGGTATTTCGCAAATACCGTATTTCATAAATACGAGGTCTCGTGTGAACGAGGCTATTAGCAAAAACTAGTTACTTCCAACGTGGCTCGACTTTCTCTGATGTTCAGCAGCTAAGCAGCACCCACACTATGGCATCCTTGTTTTCACAATATCATTCTCGTAATTACTCTTTAATCTGCTGATTACACTAGCTCAAACTCTTAACATATTACCTTTGTGTAAGGAATGAAATTCAGGCGCTTTAACGTTTCCAGTGTGTAACTGACACCTGATGGACTGAAGAAGACTATGTAGTCTGGAACACCCTACAAATCAATGGTCACAGACAAGATTTCACACAGCTGTTACAATGAGCCAAGCATAGTCTACTATTACAATATACTAGGAACTCTACTAGTACACAATACTGATAGAACTGCACACTAATACCATGAACATAATGGCTAAATTACACATTGCTTTGCCTTTTGTCTTTTACCACAGTTTTAACAGTAGCATGTAATATGCTATCTCAATGTCTATATGTTGCTTATTACTATAACATGATCAATTAGTATATATAAATTGTCTTTAGTTTGCTTCTAAACCAACTTAGTCTGTAGTGCTCTGCAAGGGTTGTAAATACAAAGACAATATTATTTCATTACATTCGGTTCAATTAGCTACAATTACTCACATGATTCTCGTGAAACGTGTGTAGAGACGACGTGACCTCCACATGCTGCCTCGTCTCATATGCAGCTATACACTCGAGCCCGACTCCTTAATGAAACGAAAGGTCTACTGTTTATACACACCGCAGAATGATGCACGGAGGTCCACGAAAGGATTTAACAAGAGGTTTCAATTACTCGTTTTCTTGAAATTATTCGTGAAGTAAAGAGTGACACTTTAGTTAGGGTGATTATAACCATTTAGAAAACTTGTTGAAATTAGGTAAACTTGATAACACTGTGGCAGATTAAAAATAAAGAGCATGCAAAATTATTCGTTTTTTAAAGATAGAAAATGCACGGTTCTCACAATAATAGTCAAGTTCTCTCACCTACAAGACACCCCACGACCACCTCCACAACATATCACATACCTAATTACTTTCTTTGTTATAAGTTCCAAACCTTCACACTAGTAATTCCTTAAATATATTAAAATTGGGTGGAGTGAGTTTAAATTGTCTATGTCACGAATAAGTCGTCAAACTGCATAAGTGTAGACAAATTGGTATCACCTATTAGTATTAGCAGGCTTTTTACCGATTACTCCGGCACAACAATCACCACAAATTTGTGATGTTATAGGCTGTAAAACAGCGGATGAACAGTAAACGTGTGCCTGCTATCTTCAGATTCGTGATAATGGTATGTTCAAATGGTCCCCCAAAACGAGCGCACGTAGTTACGTGACGCAAATATCATGTGAAATCCTCGCTTATGGCATACTTAAATGTCCTCTCCATCGATTTATGGGGCAAAGTGGCACTATTCCAACCCTTTTGCCTTGCTAATGCAACTAGGAATCGTTTAACAGAAGGCTTAAATACTATTTGCACCTGCATTAGTGAGCATGGTTGGCAGAGACTCTTGTCTGCTGCTGCTGCAGGGAAAGAGCAGAGGTTTGGCCTCATCAGTTGCTGGTAACTCCTCCATCTCATTTATGATGAACCGTGCCAAAGACTTTGCATTGCCACAGCTCTCTCCCTGACATGCCAACCCTAAACGGCTTTCTGAAAGGCAGTGTATAAGTACAATTGAAGAAATGGTACATAAAATGCTAAAAAAATATATATAATATATCTATAGTACATGCATATGCAAGTATACCCTAACAACATCAGGGTGTAAAATTAACGCGAGTCCGGAGTCAAATACTCGAATTACCATATTTTTTCAGCAAATCTTTAATTTTGAACTTCGGACTACAGACTCCCTCATTTTGCTGCGGACTCCCTCTTTTTGAGGGCAGGGAGTTCGTTGGACACCCTTGTTCAAAAGTTAATTTCTACCCCTGCAACATGGTTTTAATTTAGATAGAATACAGACTCTGTCAAGGGACTTATTACAATACCATTCAGTAATGTCAACTGCCCACTTTTACAGACACGGGACAAGTAATTTCATCACTGTGAAACTAAAAGATGGACCTTTTTTCATTTGTGTTTGATGTGGTTTTTACATGTGGTCTCTTTCTGATATATATATATCAGATATATATACAGTGTTAGAGCTTTAAAATAAAAACCTCTCGCCAAACTGGGCGAGTGAGTCAATAATTTAACTCACCCAAACGGAATCTGTACTTGCCCAAATTTTAAAGCAAAAATGCTTGTCAAACAATAGTGAAAAATTAGACTATGGGGGTGCATGGGTTCGGAAAGGGGTCCCTGATTAGGCGGGGTCTGGGAGCCCTCCCCCGTAATTTTCTTTTGAAAATTACACCTCTTAGATGCAATTTCCTGCACTCTGCGGCAGCACTATTAAACAATCTTCATCACAAAAATATCACTTCTGAGTTGAGTATTTTAATCTTTGGGGACTAGATATCTTTGGGCGTAGATAGATAGATAGGCAGATAGATATATATATATAGAGATATATATCGATATAATACACTCCTGATATTACAATATATACATAGATAATTGTAATGAAATTCACGTTTATTTTTGCGTGCCGGCACGCTCATTGTGTGTCATTCCCGATTGCAGCTTTTTCCTCAATTCCAGGAAAGAATTTTGCTGTCATCCTCTGATCCCAGTGGTGCCCACCCCCTATAATGAACATGCCCCACGCGGCTTTAAAACAATCCTGCCCCCCCCCTTGCACATCAATCAATATGCCGCCCCAGGCACGTATTTACAGCCAGGCTGTGCTGACTGTCGGCAACCTTTGATAATATGAGTGAGGATGCCGTGCGATAGCCGCCCTTCACAATCGCTAGAACTGTTGTTTTTTTATCAATGTTTGGATATATAATGTAAGGAACCAACATTTGATTTTAGTTTTAGACAATTATTTTTACACACCAACATGGGCGAGTCAGCTTTAGCTTTTACTCGCCCGATATTAATTTCACTCGACATTGGCGAGCGGGCGAGTGTCAAGCTCGTTCGCTATATATATATATATATATATATTTCTGATCCTAGACCATTTAGATAATAAGGCAAACTAAAGTTGGTCAGACACTAGGTTACTGTAACTTTCATCACACACCTGCTATTTTCTTGGTTGCTTCTCCAACCACAAACACGTGTTTGCCTTTCCAGTGAGCAATCACATTGCAATCCTGTTTAGAACACAGAAAATAAAATAAGCATATCATAAACAATTTAAATTTGCATACAGCAATCAATCTGCATTAAATAATTCATATTGCATGCATCCCCAGTGAACACTAGATACTCTTTACTCTTGTAATGTATATGATATTAGATATCCCACCATAAAAATTAACACAATTTAATATTGTCTATAAGGTATACACATACCCAGTTTTTAATGCTTACCATGAACCTATGTATACAACTATATAAGTATGCATGTAATTGAGAACTTGTCCTTTTCTGAGAGCGATTATATTACAGGTGAGCACCAATGATGCCTAACGAATTCTGTGCAGGTGAGATGAATGCACAATGTTCAAAATACCCTGTTGTTAGACACGGGTTACAATTATCATTGTAGTTAAATTGTATTTGTGTAGTAATTCTTTTTGATTACAATATTCATCGGTGTATATTCTTAACTGGTGTATTTACATTACCAATAGAAGTTCACACCTACGCTGCACTTTTCTACAGCCATGGCTAACGCTTCCACAGAGTGTTGGCTTGTCAGGACCAAACCAGTCCAATTTCCAGGTGTCTCTAGTAGTTGGGCAAGTTGTTGTACATTCACAAAGTCAAACTGTAGCACTGGAATGCTACTTGCTGAGATTCCATGCTGTACAAACAACTGAAAACCAGTTCAAACCATCACACAAATGGGCATTTCATAAAACACTACATCAGCAATATCTCAATAATTAGTTTTCTGGTTTATAACATTGAGAACATCACATCCACTGGTTATAACCTATTCATTGTAACAGAATGAATTAGATGTGGCATTTTATAGCAATATTACCATTGATTTTGCATGTGTATATTAACATTAAAACTTATAATACCTGATGATAGGGATCACTGTCCATATTTTTCCTTGACTGACGAAGGAGAAGAGCTGATGGCATCTTTATATTTGCCGGTTTTTTGTTTTCCTCTGTCGAACGGTATATATACATAATTATACAATGATCGTAACACTTTATAACAATATCAATAATAATTAATATCAATGTCAAGCATATGCATATGTAGGCCTATTATGTATTATTAGCCACAAGTTCCCTTCTCGCTTAACACTACATTGGCGAGAGGCCTCCGCCATGCAACAGTGGGAGAGCCTGGCCAGTTTCATGTATTATATGCTTTAATAAGTTATACGGTCTCAATACTTTAAATGGTAAATATTGACCGATCATAAGATAAGTCAAAAGATATGTATATATGATATATTATATATATATCATAATATATGATATATATTATATGTATATATGATATGTATTGGCTAGGCATATAGAGGGTTCCGCGACTTGCACTAAAAATCAAGAAAATTGCGTGCATTGGGAATCGAGACCCATACCAAATAGACAATGCCAAATGGAGTGAGGACCACAATGTGTTCCCATCACACACCTATTTGGATCTCGTGAACTACCTAACATTCCAGCCGAGTCCATTTTATACTCTCAAGGACTTTCAGAACTACAAAAGCCTGGATGCCTACGATCGACTGGTCTGCGGTTGGGTGAGAAGTGTATCTGTCTACATCTATGATGTAAACAATGAGTACCCCATCTACGTTTTCCGAGTACGTGTTATGCACTCCCAGTCTATGAATATACCGTCTCTCCATCCGTGGGTTATGATGAGAGAAAATGGAGCAGTCATGTCAGCGCACTGTAATTGTAAAGCCGGGCTTGGCGAATCTTGTTCACACGTTGCCTCGGTGCTATTCTACGTAGAGTAGGCTGCACGTGTAAGGGAAACCACCACACCCACTCAAACAGCTGCCTACTGGATGCCGGCTTCACTTACAGGTGTGGCCTATGCACAGCTGACAGACATTGACTTCACATCTGCCAGGGGGCTGAAGAAGCGATTGGATAAATGTATGGACAAACAAGCTGGCCCAGCTAAGACACCTGCCAAGAAACCTGCCATCACATCAGACCAGACACCTGCCGAGACACCAGTTCGACCTTCAGCCAAAACCGAAGACTTCAGACACGAAGGATCCTGCATGATCATCGTTTCACTCATGCCAGTACGGTTTATGGCCGCCAACCAGCATCGTCTTCTCCTGTCTGACATCTCTTTCGTCACTTCACCTTGTATTGTGATCACAATAGGCAGCCTAAAAAAGCCGTGTGCCTGTCTCGGATACCGATTGCTGCAATTGACAACACCGCAGGAGATCGGCATGGTGAGGGATTTGCTTAATAGGCGAAGAAAATGAGCAGAGTTGCGTTGCTCAATGTACTTGTACAGTACCTGAACTGGTTTCTGGAACCCAAATGGCCGGCGGCGTTGCATTGTAGGTAATATGAAAAATCGCGGAACCCTCTATTGCTTTCCCTCCAGTTTCCAAAATATTATTATTATTATTATTATTATCAGAGAAAGCTCAGAAACATTAAGACTTCGATAGATAAATTTCGTGTTTATTTGCTATTATTTTTTACCAGTTTTCGATATAGTCCCTTGGACTTTGAAAATTGAAGACCATTACTTACGAGGTTACGAGGGAACGTTCAAACTACCTGTGAACCAGAGATTGAGAGAAGTTGAGAGAACGTTCTGCGTCTGATGCCATGAACGGTGCGCAACAGCAGAGCCACCTGTTGGAGCTATGTTGAGTTTCAGATTATTAAATAATATTATCCTAACGATCGAAAGTACCCCTCTGATAATTATAATATGATAATTATATCCGCGCACAGACATAGATACAAGATATACCATATGTTACGTAGTATACCCAGAGCACGTATATGATTATAATATACGTGCTCTGGTATACTGCACAGAATATAACACATACGGACAGTCTTGTCATTTTGATCGATAGATGGCGCAAATTCACGATTTCTGTTTAGATTCTGGCTGCTGACACCTGAGGCTGAAACCAGAGCATATAAATGCTCTGCTGAAACCTATGCTGAAACTGTTTAATGCCTAAATATTCGTAAATATACATGTATATCGAAGCTTTGATTCCAGAAGACACAGACGAGTAGTATATCACTATTAGAACATAACTTAACTAAGGACTTGATTCAGTAGCCTGTTCGCTTGTTAATGTTACTGTAGTGTTAGTGATATTGACAGTGCTGACAGTGACACGACAGTGCCAGCGTCTGTCCTAAACCGACCAGGCTCTCCGACTGTTACACGTCGTAGGAAACGTAGTGTTAACCGAGAAGGGAACTTGTGGCTACGTCTGTCCGTGACAGTGTTAGACAGTGTTAGGCCTATACTGACACTGTTAGTGAAGCTGAAGGGGGCGCTGTCGTATACTATATGTAGTACCCGAGGTGTCGGCGAGTATGTCGCCTTCGCCTACTCCCTAACCCTAACCCTAACACCCTAATACTAGTAACCCTAACCCTAACCATATCAAATAACTACCTCGGGTACATATTATATACGCCATTACACGACAACGACCCTTCGTGCGTTAGTGAATCACTGCCACTGGCACTCGGTGTCAGTGACTCACTGGATGCAGTGCAGTGCTCCATCACTCAGAATGTTTAAGTCGAGTAAGGTTTGCACAGTACTGATAGATTTGAGTGGAACCTTGCATATAGAAGATTATGCTATACCAGGAGCAGTAAATGCATTAAACAGGTAATAGTAATACTATCATGTCAATGTATCCCCTTTCTATTCTCTCAGTCAGGGCTCATGTTACTGTTAGCACATCTAAGACAGTATAAATACCCGTGAACATTGGCTATGGCTACTTATCCGACTTTCAGACACTCAACCTACATGCTAGATATCTGGCTGCCACAGAATACATACTGCTTTGGTGATTAGTATCTTTGATGGATCATGATTAGTAATTTAGTATTATTTTAGATTGCGAAGAAAAGTGAATGTGAAGTTTGTGACCAATACAACCAAGGAGAGTAGGAGAGTCTTGCACGAGAGACTGCATAGTCTTGGCTTTGACATAGAGAAATCTGAAATCTTCACATCACTATCTGCAGCGAGAAGCTATGTTGATACACATAAAATTCGACCATTACTGATGCTCGAGAAAGAAGCTATGGAAGATTTTGAAGGCGAGTGTGTGCCATTACAGTGTGTTAAGTAACACATTAAGTTTCTGACATAGGTTTGCATACAAAATCCAGATCACTGGCTTTGAAGTGGTCACTTGTAGTTGTAGCCAAAAATGTGAAATTCCATGTATAAATTTGCAAAAAGGTATGGTTTTGTTATTTTTGTCAAAAATTCCATAATATCAATAGCATTGATATATGAGCACCAATTAGGTTCTATATTGTGTCAGCACAAATATCATTAAATCAAACCAAAATTGCACATCCTGCAAAGCAAATACCAGTAAGAAAAGGAATAACTAGTGCCTCATGAAGCCTCTGTTTTTGTCATGTGCACATATAAGGCGTGGGGACATCCGATCCAAATGCTGTTGTCATTGGCTTGGCACCTAGCTGTTTCAACTATTCCAAGATGAATGAGGCATTCAGGTACATTTTTTGCATTATATATTTCATTTCCCTAATTGAGTTTGCAGTGATGTGTCTCATTAGACAAAATGAAGCCAGCATTCAATATAATTTTCAGTTTAATTTTTTTTTATATATCGTTTTTTATTAATTGTTAAATACTAAATATTATTTAAAAAAGTAGAAATGTGTGTTATAGCTAGTAGCATAAATGCTAGTGGACACATGAATGTTTAAAATGATATTTCTGTTCATTTGTAGCGAATATTAAACGCTCAAAATTGATATGCTGCATAGAAAAGCCTGATTTATCTGAAAGTAAGGATGAATCCTGAGTTTGTGTTAGCCTTAGGAAGTGATAGGAGGTGTTAGTGATTAGGAAGTGACCACGATGTGGTAAGATGTCACTAGAGGTCACCAGTGGTGCATGATTATCTCACCTTTTCCAGGATGTTATTGGATGGTTCAACGTTAATAGGCATCCACAAAGCACGATACTTAAAAAAGAAAGATGGTCTCTACCTGGGACCAGGCCCCTTTGTGCACGCACTAGAATATGCCACTGGCACACAAGCAGTGGTGCTGGGCAAGCCGGAGAAGGCTTTTTTTCTGGAGGCATTGCAAGAGTTCAGTTGTCCTCCAGACCAAGCCGTCATGATAGGAGATGTGAGTTTATGTATCCAGCTTTAAGTGCCTTTAATGATATTGAACATGCATGTGTGTCTTAAAAAACAGTGATATAGCTCCTTCAATACTCTTGTTGTATGTCTTTGTTTCTCACTCGCTGTCTCTCTGCCTGTGTTGCCACCCTTCTCTCCTTCTCTCGCTAACTCGTAAAAAAAAGTTAGACTAAAAATACATTAATTAGTTGCTTTATTGAACTTGTGCGTAGGGGGTTCAAATGGAAAATAATCTCTCTAAAAGGTCTGATCAAAAATGTTTCAATACTGATATTCCAAAACTAAGTCATGTTTTCTGTGTTTGACTATAGAGCTGTGATATATCAAATTCGTTGATATAGTAGTAATGGTATCAATATTGTATCCACGATATATGTATCAGTGAAATGCGACATACGCAAAAATGTAATTTAATATAAGCAGAATAATTAGAAAATGTAATTGTTTTGTACACAAATCTGTTTTCAGGATGTAATAGATGACGTTGGTGGTGCTCAGAAGTGTGGAATGTTAGGAATCCTTGTACAAACAGGTAAGTTACAATTCTCAAATTATTCCATCAGACTGTCACTGACAACCCATGTATTTCTCTACCCCTAAGAAAAAATGCAGTCTTTCTATTACATTTACAAATACCATGACGTATTTAAACGAATGCTCCAGGTATGATTGCATTTGATTGCAGGTAAATATAGAAGCAAAGACGAAAGCAAAATTCAACCAGCTCCGCATCTCACGTGCCCAGATTTTCCAGCCAGCGTTGACTATATAATTGACAACTTGTTATGACACCGCTAGAACCTTCTAGTACAGAGTTTCTTCTAAATAAGAGGTACTGCGGCGCACCGCCGTCGTAAAATTTAACAACGCCGTTGTGAAAATCTTCCTGTATTTACCTGCCGTTGTCAAACTAGTGTCAATGCAAAAATAAATAGATCACCATCATGACACCATGTGCTTCTGACTATATACATGGAAAATCGTAATGAAATTCACAGCATCGTTTTTTGCCAGCACACTCATGTGTCATTCCTGATTGCAGCTTTCTCCTGGATTCCGGGAAAGTTTTGCTATCGCTCCCTCATACCAGCGGTGGCCACCCCTACATATACAGCAATAAGCACGCCCACGCAACTGTAACAATCGGTGCATTCGGATGCAATTTTGCTGGGGGAGATGCCCAGAACCCCCCCCCCAATCTGCCTGCAGAATCCACATTCATGCCTACTGCACGCTTTGAATCCATCATGCACGTTTTCTCCCCAACTGGCCATTACCTCCGTTGTCTAATTTTCCCTCAGAAGAAACCCTGTAGTAGATATAATACTCCTGTTTCTTTAACAATCTATGACAGCAGGCCTTGTTAAGTAGACTAGGGATTTTAAGTGTTAATCAATTGATAGAATTAGAAAAGCAGTACTTGTACAGTGCATTATATGTAATATATGAATAATTTTAATGAGCTTGAAGTGTAGTTGTTGTTGGTTACTCAAATCTAAGCAAGATCCCACATCCAAAGTTGTAAATTAAACATTTCTGTTGCATTATATATTAGGAGTTTTACATATTTTGTTTTTTCTAAAAGTTGCAAAATATGAAGTATGTTACAGCAATATGACTATGTATGAATATTAAACAGAATAACTAATAACAGATGGATAAATTGTCTATTAACAGATTATGTTTTTCACATAACAGTAATAAATCTATTATCTCAGGTCAAACAAAAAATTTGTTGCCAGCTTCAATAAAATAAAATTTAAGGTAGGTATTTAGGTGCTGTTGATTCGTTTGGCCATATAAATCTGGAATTTCAACAATACTAATAATAATCTACAGTTTTCCAATTGTTGAATTCATACGTGCTCAGTAAATAATATTGAATGGAGCTATGCAATAACTAATCTTTAAATTACCTTCAATGTAAAAATATAAGGAATATTTAACAACATGCCAGAAAGCAGATGAAAACGAAAATATAATGATTTTATATGTTTCTAACATCACATGCTTATCACATGAAAATAATAGGTATGTTCACATAACCCTCTAGCATAATGCCTACCCAAAAATAACCTCTAGATACCACAGTCCTGGTACCAAAGAGACAGCTAACACAAGGATTAGACTGTCTTGCAACTTGTTTGCTATGTCATCATTAACCAGAGTAACTCAAAAACTCTAATGGCTACAGACTTCCAAGTTTATACTACAGTCGTATTACACTCTTAATAAGATGAAGGCAACTGTGAAACGGCTACTTCTGAACTTATATAATATACTTACAAAGATGATGAGGGCATGGTGAAAAACAAGGTTGATTCATAACCTAACGGGCACGGTTACAATAAAAATTTGATCGATCACAATATAACAAAGCTAGTGAGATAGAAATGTCTACCTTAATATAACGGCTCATCATATATATACGACAGCCATACTACGTAAGGTGCGTACAACCTAGGCATGCTACGTAATACAAATCTTTTCTTACTGAGCACCAATGCATCACAGTCATTGACATTGTAGATCACTCGAGAATGATTAAACTACAGTAAAATATTTTCAACGAAAACATTAATTCAGGTCATCACCGGTCAAACATTCGGACTACTACTGTATGACATCAAGTTACCCATTATGGCAAAGCCAAAATTGAGCACCAGGTTGAGCAACATGCACTAATCTGCTTGTCTGATTTGTCTCAGCTTGTCCTTAAGCACAGTCTTATTGAGTTTTATACGTTTGAGTATTTCCGCCATGCTCAGTGAGGGATGGGGAGCTTGCGCATGCAGTCCCACATGCTGGTAGAATGTGTCAGCTAGAATGCAAGAAATAAGATGCTCACAATGCACACAATGCCATGGTAAACAAAAAACATGTTACTATCAATGAGTGTGAGAGCACACACACATACAAGCTAAATCTGAGAGACAGTGACACGATTAAAACGTCACATTACTTTAGCAGTATAAAAGAAACATGAAAACACGGACTCTACATCTAGATGTGGAAATGTATAGTCACCATTTGCAAACATCTGTAATGCATAACAGAAGACATACAATCTAGCACTGTCTAACACACTGTCTAAAGGTACATCTAGGTGCCGGCTAGTCACCACTAGTTATCAGGCTCAATACACTTCTAAGGAAGAAGTCTATAAGCTTGCCTCTCGGCCCCTCTATGCCACGTGGGCTGGCCTCTTCCATCGTCTCGACGATAAAGGAGGCAGATGTCCCAGCGTAGGGGTGGATGTCACCAGTGACCGACTTCTCGTGGCCAAAATGGCGCATGCGGTAGACGCCTGGCATGGCCGCTGCCGGGATATCCCACTCTACGGTCGCCTGGCTTTTACCCAGCAGAGAGGACGTTCGCGTCCACTTGAACCTACGTGTATTTTGCAAAAGCAGAAGATGATTTATAAGTGTTCGATCGCTGCCCGACGACTCTGCTTGCCGCCATGTTTCATGCTAGTTCCGCTTCGACGGAGCAGTCACGTGTAACCCGATAGCCCGACTGCATCGCACAATACACGTTGTGGCACTGCTTCTACGCACCTTGTCTCCCAGCTGCTGTCTGTGTACGCCACGTGCCAGGTCGACTGCTCAGGATTCCACCACTCCACTGTCAAAAACGTGGCACCCGTCTGAATCGAACGAAACAAGGCAGCCATTGAGACATTGAGCCAGAAGAAGGCATCCGTTCCACGTAATGACGCCTTAGCTTGCAAACACGGGCGAGCAATGAAGCCAAAACCTCAGGACTGATCGTCACAGTGACTAGCGTCGAACACATGACGAAGATTCGAGTTTCGATGAGATAGTCGCAGCGGTTAGATCGTATAAGCGTACGTACCACGAGATCGTCGCAGCAGTTAGATAGTCCGAGCGTACATACCATGAGGTTGTTGCGAGGATGACCGGCGACGAATGAGACGCTGACGGTAGTGTTAACGACATACTTCGGCTTCGCGTCTGTCAGCACGTCGCCGAACGACTTGCCAATGCCGCTGCCGTCGTACACGACGGGCAGAACAAAGCAGAGCTGCTTGTCCCGCAGGTAGGGTACGCTCGGCCCCTTGTCCACTGTGCTGTTCTGTTTCAGTAATAAACCAATTGGTTACTGCGAAAAACACCGTTCACTGACAGTCATTTGTCGCGTGGCACAATGAAATGAAATCGGTGTAATATAATTAATACGTGTCCCCTTTATACTCTGTTTAACTGGGACACCAATGTCATCCCCGACACCGAGGGACAGCATAAAGAAAGAAAGAAAGAAAGAAAGAAAGAAAGATCGTTTATACTGTCTTTACCACACTCGGTTACAGATAAATGATTGGTGTAAGACAGATATGAAATGCAGCTGAGGTTCCCACGTCAAGTACCTGTGCTATAGCAGCAGCTAATACATTGAAATGTTGGATGTACGCCTGGAGAGTGTGGGGTCCATAAATGGTCGACGCACCTTCATATCGTTGTACCTACGATACAATACAACACCAACACCATCATCAACTCACCATCTCATACAAAAACTGATAAGAAACAATAAACATATATATATATATTTAACTTTTCCTTCCGTTAACATTGCAAATAAATTATAAATAAGGATATAAATAATAATCTATTTCTTAACTCATATTAATTAGGTAATTAGCCAAGAGAAACATACAAAACGCAGTGCCACAGTGTTCTCATTAGGAACCCGCCACCGGCCGAATTGACCGTCTACTCTGCTGTTTCAGCCGGTTATAATTGGCGCAAGTATATTAAAAAAATAAAAAATAATTTAACAATATTTTTTTATTTGCATTTAGTTTGCTCTAATTATTCTCCAAAGTGAAAGTGTTTTATGAGCTACTACTAATAAATCAGTTGAGTATATTTGTATGCATGTTATGTGCACAAGAAGCATTGTTTTGTTTTTGAGTAATGCTATTTACATACTTGTCTAACTCTTATAATTACTAAATCGTCATAATTTGGAAACTTTTGGTGAACTCTGAATGTACCAGGAGAAACCAAATTGGAAAAAAGGACCATACTGTAATCCAAATGTGTCTGTTTACTGCAGCTCAGAATACACCAGATTGCATCTCAGAGCATCTAGGTTTTAAACAAAATTTGGGGGGTACCCCCAAACCCCCCGCCCACACACCGCCACTGCCTGTTGCAAAAGCATTTCGGCCTGTTACTATAAAAGATAATGAAAACCCTGGTGCCAGTTCTTAGCCCCCATGTATGTGCCACAAACCTGGTATTCTTCGAAGGTAGTGATGTAACTAGAGTAGGTGTTTGAGAGTCCTGCTATCACTGTCTCTGTCGTCTCTGGGAAGCCATGCTGTGCAAGAGTAGCAGTGACATTGCTTCTTACTCTCCTTCCAGACATTGTACTGTAAATCAACATCAGCATCATAAGAATAGAAGACTATATGATCCTGCAGAGCCATTTTCTATATACTATATATCCATCTTATCAGGAGTCTATCAATACTCATATATCACTCATATATTAATATATTGATACACTCCTGATCTTATATGAGGGGGGTAAGGGGGGTACTGTTCACAGTAACTGCTTTTCCCATTTCAGTGAAAATGTGAAAATGCATAGATTCACGAGGACATGCATAGATTCACGACATGCATAGATTCACGAGGAAAGAGACCTCTTATTCACAGTTCACAGACTAAATAAAAGCTAAATCACGCTTCACGCAAGGTGGTCCATTCACAGTTCACAGACAAAATAAATTGCAATTCACAGTTCACGAGGTATAAAACCGGCCGATCACGTTTCACGAAAATACCCTTACCCACCCTCTTATATTATATACCAATAATATTATTTGATTTAGTGATAATAGTATTTATATTAATCAATTTAGCAATAATACCTGAATTCTCCTGGTACTGCCACTATGATAAAATCTCCCACCCTGAGCAACTGAAGTTCAACTATGTCTGGTTGCCATGAATACGGGTAGCTAATCTGCATAATGAAGGGAATTAAGTAAAACTGAGATTCATTGTCAGAAACACCCTAAATAGTTATGAATATCATGAGTCTATAAGATGTCAGAACTGTAGCACAACACCGTGTAAAAAAATATGACATCCTATACCCATGTGATGTCATAAATAAGTCATGACTACTCATGTTTCTGAAAATAGGCCTCATAATATTATATTTACGTGGTCATACTAATCTCCCCATTATGTGGACTGATATTGGGCATGGTAATATATACCGGACAAAAGAAACAAACAAAGAAGTACTTAGCTATAGATTGGTAATACAATTCAATTTTGAATAATGAGTATGACTGACATTCAGCCTATCAATTTGTGTCAAGAGATTGCCAAGGATGGTACCAACTAAGACATCAACAAAGATGGCAATAGGGTTAAATGGATCCACATTTCCTTGCTAATAGTATAAACTATGTATATTGAATTATAAAACACAGATGGGTTTATGGTAAGAAATAACACTGCTGATTTTTACACTGGCAATTCTGTTAAAACTGCTGTAGTCATATGAACCTAAACAACTGAAAATAAGCTATGCACATTTCTAATGGTTGTGTACATGTGCTACTGTACACTGTAGGCCCTTACTTCCCCAGTATCCAGCAGAATAGGTTTCGGAAGTTGACAGGCTGTCTGTTCTGCTGATGGTTTTTTAATGAAATTCCTAATCAGGTTCCACAGAGCATTTCCTTGAGTTGTTCCTACAAATATCAAAAGCACTTTGCTTAGAACATAGATGCAACAAATTCACATTTTCCCTTTTGATATACACATTCAAAGTAGTTGAAAACAATATCCACATTGACACAAGAGCGTTTGGCAGCTAGCACAAGGTTATGGAAATTTTTCAGACATATATCTGTCTCTTGGGTATAAGTACCTTGTGTAAAGTCCATGGCACCTGGGCCATCCGTAGTGCCAGCAGCAAAGCTGTAACCCATTGCTGGCTTGCAAGTATGTGCCTAAAATATCATACATACATATATATTTTATATATATATACATATATATAATTGTATGTACCACAAAACCCCTAAAAAAGGGCGACTCGATGGGATTCGTCATTAAAAACATCTAGTATAGATAGGTATCAAGAGTAGATAATAACACATGTGTTATTATCTACTCTTGATAGGTATTCATTCTATAGAGCAGACTACTAACACATGGCTGAATGTATTCAGGGTTGAGTAGCTCCTACCTGAGAGCCATCTGACAGGTTGACCTGTACATTTGTCATATCCACATTCTGGTGTTTAAAATCTACAGGTCCACTGAGTTTCCTCGTAGCATTGTTATACAAGTTCTGAATTACAAAAAAATATATAAATTATAGACCCATAGTCCATAGAATCAATCTAAGATATACTACTCCATATTAACATTGATTTATATTCAAAAAAGAAACAAAAAATTTAGACAGGTAAGATCCTTAGGTAATAGCTTAATAGTCCTTCATTAATTCATAGAAGCAGTTATTGCATGTTGTTAATAATCAGATGATAATGTTCTGATCTTAGAGAACTCTTACTTCTGCACCCTGTTTCTTACGGGGACATGAGTGGTTTAATAATCTCACCAATGCTTTAATAAACTGGTTATTGCCAATGATTCTAGTACTGTCTGCCATATCCACCCCAGGTCCAAATGCTACACAAAGTTCACTCTAGAATAGAAAAAAGATAGCATATGCACACATGAATTTGAAAACCAGAATTGTTATAATTAACGTGGTTTCCACCATTTCAATAGTTACTTGCTAAAGACGATTACTTCACTACAAGTTGTGAAAGAGAACTTATATACAATGGTGTTTATCATGGTGACATCTACACACTACGATATAAGACAGGAATACCTTGCCATTACAGGTACTGGTGTTCATGTGGCATGGCAGACCCGTGTCTAGACAATGTGGCCCCCTGGTGTTCGGCGAAACATCGCCTTCATTTGCCTGTGCAAATGCTGCAACGAAGTCTCCCTAAGAGAGAGAACGAAAAATGCACACCTTGCATAAAACTTCACTGTACCATGCAGCTGCTGCTATAAATACACACATTTCATATACGCGACATGCAACAGTAAGCCTCCGCAAATTGTTCACCGTTGCACTATTTCGTGTCTAGAAAAGGCCTTTTTTGGATTATTTTTTGCTGAAATTCGGCACTAGAGTGCAATAATTTGCATTATGCACGTAAGGTAGATGCGTCGTGGACGTCTAGAAAGCATTAGAAGTAAAATTGGTCTCGTCATGTAGTTAATTGTGACATTCCGTCAGGTAGCGTACGTAGCCATAGTGACCGATTGGTCATTTTTGTGTTTGAAATGTGTTCGGACTACTTTGTAGAAATTCGGATCATAGAGTATAGCATAGAACGGAGCATAGCGCATGAATCTGTAGTTATTTAACATGAATAAAGTGTATGCGAAGAAAAGGTGTGAGTATTTTTAATTAATTTCTGTTCGATGCTTATTCAGGCCTGCTGCCTATAGATGCCTTCTACTGTTGTACACCACCTATAGAATTCTTTTCTCCCTTTGCTCTCGATGCCATATTGTTCAGGATCAGCATCATGTGAGTCACGCACTACTGGTATGCTGGGATTCACAGAGGCTTCCCTAACGTGGCAGAGAGAAAACCACACTCCTGGATAGCATTCTGGGTCACACTCTGCCCATCACCCTTCTCCTTCCTCCTTATGCACACATCATTCCTGACTTACGTTGCATATCCTGCTCCCACCTACTAACTAGATATCCTCATATCTTGCATCTTCACACTAACCTTTTCCTACCAGATGTACGTGGCCACTACAGAAATAATCTTTTCCCTCCCTCAACCCTCGCTCTATTGAAACATCAACCACATCCTGCCCATTCAACCCATCCACACACCCACACAAACATAAAAGAATTAAAATGAAACTATACAGAAACCCTCAAATTGTCATATTTAGATACATGTCTAGTTCATAGATTTAGATTTGCTGTGAAACTGCCACTCAATGGATATCCTAGAGTGTCCTCTATAGACAGGTGACTGTTCTACACAGGTATGCTGACACATTTTTGACGGTACATACTTCTCCTGGCAGGCTCCCAGGGTTCATATGTTGTTCGAACAGGTATGAGGCATAGCCCTTGTTGTCACCGGAGATTAGATGGTTCGTGTTGTTCATACTCGTGCAGTGAACTGCAAACCAACTGTAAAAATAAAAACAGCAAAACAGCTAGTGATCAATAAAGCACCAGCATCACCAGCAGAAGCAGAAAGCATTTTGAATACGAGCTAATACATTGACCGTACACATTATGCCAAGAATCAAATTTCAAAAACTTTTTTAACAAGCTAAACAAAGAACAGTAACATTTCCTCTTAGTGAAGTAATACTCAGACCAATGCATCTCAGATCACTACAGGCATAGTTCTACCATTTAGTTTGTGCACAGAAACTGCACTTGTGAAAAAACAAGTTTACACTCACCTTATCATGCCTATAGCCGCACCAGTCGAATTAACCATCTTAAGAACAACCATATCTTTATCGACGTCATACTGGTATCTGTAAAAGAGTACATTTTGGATTCATAGACATTGCTTTTTGTAGCACAAGAGTCCTTATATCTAGTGCTAACATGTATATATGTATACGAGGCCCCCCTCTTCTGCTCTTACTACTATACACTACAAAATATTGCGATTTCTATAAACAGCAAAATGAGGGCCAACTGTTCAATACATTCTTTTTTTCGAAACCAATAGTAATTCTTTTACTAGCAGCAATTTTTTTGCGATACTTCCTGAAAGAAAAGCAGAATATTTACCCCTTCACTTCTGTATTTGACCCTAGGATATCATTCCCCTACATGTACCTGTATCAGAACTTAACATAATAAATGCAGGGGATTGAGGATGCGTGACAAAAGCAGTGTAGAGAAGCACAATTGTCGATCCCATCGTTTATTTGCCTATACCTAATCAGAAATCTTTGGCAGCAATAAATTTAATGCACTGGAAGATTAAGATCACATCACCCACCCACCCCATAGAGATTATGTACTCTCTATTATGTACTCTTGATACGTATATATATACATATATATATATATATTTAACTTTTCCTTCCGTTAACATTGCAAATAAATTATAAATAAGGATATAAATAATAATCTATTTCTTAACTCATATTAATTAGGTAATTAGCCAAGAGAAACATACAAAACGCAGTGCCACAGTGTTCTCATTAGGAACCCGCCACCGGCCGAATTGACAATATATACGTATATCCTATACAAGAAATGACATGTACGAGAGGAACCTGCCTGCAGGAGCGTGTAGCAACTATACGACCAAGTAAACGTTTGTAGAAGCTAGGAGGTTAAATGTGCCACGGTAAATTCAAGGGAATTACTATTTGCCACGTTTATATACACTTCACGCAGTGTGATGATTCGCCATTACCCTCGCGGTGAGGATAATGGGCATTAATGGCGAATCATCACACTGCGTGGAGTGTACGTTTATAGCACCAACTGCGTTTATGTTCCACAGTAAATTCAAGGGAATGGTTATGTGTCCACAAGCACAGAGATAGGGCTTAATTGTACCACTCCTACACGTGCCTAATCTTGCAGTTGCGCATCTACACTCGCGTCCTGAGCGATTGAAAATACCGCGTCAACATTATCAGCACGCACGGTTATTTGTCTCCTACGTGTTCAGGGATATGTCACTGCCCCCACACTGTATTACACTGGGAGCTCGCATGCGATATGCGGCTTGATTTATTTGATTTCTTGTCCATCAATCATTATCGGTGCAAATGTGCACGAACACGGACTTGGGCTATCTCTGTCACTACAAGATTATAGCTGTTGCCAGCCCACAGAGATCATTTACCAAACGTCTTATCAGTACTAGTAGCTGTGTTGAGGGGGGGAGGGCTGTGAACACAGCTGGCACGCTGCTACTACTAGTGTTGGTTATATATAGCGGCTAAGAAACCGCTATGCAAGCGCTGTATGCGAGAATGTATAGTGAAGTTACACGGGCCTGCAGACTGCATTTCCTGGGCCGGAAATGGCATTGCGTGGCTGACATCTGCAAATTTCTTGTGATTTTCGTCGATTTTGCCAGTGATCGAGCGAGGGAGGGATGGAGGATTACAAGTGTAGTCGGCTATGGTAGCACCTGCACTGTGCCTTATTCTGCAATACTTTTAGTGTCGACTGCCTTTGCTAGAGTGCATCGCTTTTAAAGTTTTGTACACCAGGGTAACCGTTGTCAGAAATATCATACCGTATATACTCGCGTAATAACCGCAAATTTGGCCTCAGATTTCAACCCTGTATTTGCTCTGCGGTTTATAAGTGCGCCATACCGTGAGGGGAAATATACTAGGCGCAATACTTGGTTATCCGATTCAAATTGAGGTGCGGCTTATAGGCGCCCGCGGTTATTACGCGATCATATACGGTAAATAGATGTGACTGCCACCAGTTTGAAATGCCATAAATTTGGCACAACACTTTACCACAAAATTTATGATGTCTTAGACTTACAATGTCATAACTACTCATTATGTTTCTGACAGCGGGCCGCCAGGATACCCCACGCTGTACATCGATGCGACGATAGCAACCAGAATATGCACGACAGAAATGCCAACGCCGATCGATAGTGAGGGCATACAGATAAGAAACGCTCTCCTGGCAGCCATGGTATTCGGCTAATAGCGAGGGAAGCAGCATTGGCGGAACGAGACGCAACGACATTCCCGCGAGCGCCGCCATGAATTTCGCCAAGACGTGCGCCCGCTGCGACGTCAAAATCGCCGCTCTCCTCGTCGTGCTGCTAGCGATCAGCCTCCTGCTGGCGACTTACGCCCGCATCGACCGAGTGGTGCGCCCGCGCAGGCCGGACGCCGCCCCCGCCAACAAGACGATCCTATTCTGGACGGGCTACTATGGCGACCCGCGATGGAAGAGCGTCGAGAGCATACTGCGTCTGTGCGAGCGTCCGTGCGTCGCGGAGTACGACCGCGCGCGAGCGTCTGCCGCCGACGCTGTCGTCTGCTTCGGCTTCAACATGCGGAACGCCGCGCCACCGCCCGATCATCGCGACCCGCGGCAGCCGTGGGTGTTCTACAGCCTTGAGCCGCCGCCGGTTACCGCGGCGACGGGTTTCCGCGGCAACGCGCACGCGGGGGTCTTCAACTGGACGATGACGTACCGGCGCGACTCGGACTTCCCGCTGCCATACCGCGAGATCCGGCGGCAGCCAGCCGGGCGCGCGCCCGCGCCGCGTGACTACGCCGTCGGAAAGAGCAAGATGGCCGCGGCGATGGTGAGCAACTGCAAGCGTAAGCGCATGCGGCGCATCGAGGAGTTAAGTTCGTTCGTCACTGTCGACGTCTACGGCCGCTGCGGCGCGCGCGGACGCGCGTGCGACGTGACGCACGACCGGCCTGCATGCCTCGCACGTCTCCTCGCGCCCTACAAGTTCTACCTTGCCTACGAGAGCGCGCAGTGTACCGACTACATCACCGAGAAGTACTTTGGCGTCGCAGCGCGCCACAACGTCGTGCCGGTCGTGTGGGGCGCGGTGGCAGCCGACTACGCTCTTGCGGCCGTCCCTGGATCTTACATCCACGTCGACGACTTTCCAACGACGAGGCAGCTCGCTGATTACTTGATGCTGCTTGATGGCAACGACACGCTCTACAACGAGTACTTTGCGTGGAAGCGGGAGTTTCTGATCGGAGACGGCACCTACCGGCGCGCGTGGTGCGCGCTGTGCGATGCGCTGCACACTGGCGCCATCTCGCCGCGAGTCTATGAAGACTTTGGTGGCTGGTGGGATAGCAGCTGCGCGCGGGACGACTTTGAGCGGACGTGATCCGCGCTCGCGCGTACACCGCGCGAAACACACGAGGGCGGAATCGAATATGGCGACGCGACTCATCCATAAAGGAGAACAATAAAGTGAAGCGAAGTGAACGAGATAATTAGGAGCCCCGCCTTTCGTACATATAGTTGCTAATTCAGTCCAGCTAGATCATTTTGTATGTGGTTTTACACTTGTGTGTGTGCGACTTTGCAGCATTTAATTACCAAGCACTGTTTTTTAATCATCCTATCACAAGGCTGGATCTGCCTGTCAATCACGCCAAGTGGCTAGGTCGATTATATGGTAGAGGACGCGATCTCTGTATATATATATAGTACCTTTATATATGGATGGCAAGCATCTCAGTATATGGTGCCATTTTGGGTGTGTATTGTAGGAAGATTTCCTACTTACATTAGCTTTACGCAGAGAGCACATACCTGTCTCTCTCTTCCTGTGGGTTATTGAGATAAGCAGTTGGACTGCGGTTTATGTTGGAGTCAAGAAGAGTTCCACGGTTGATGAAAATGTCACCCGGGACTAGCCTCTCGTGTGCAATCTGAATGCTCTGAAAAAAACGTACAAACCACCCATGAGATTTTCACTGTTGGCTCGATGGAGAAATTTCTTTGAGTAAATGTATTATTTTTTGCTACAATTATATCGTTACTATGAAACATGATGACGTAAAGATAAAGAAAATGAGATATATTTTGAAATGTTTCAGGATACACTCAAGCAAAGGCACTTGGAACGTTACAATAATAAAATGATGGTAAATAAACACGAAATGTATTTCCTTCCAAAGTTTCAATGTTTTCTACTCTCTTTCACCTATTATTACTGAAAATTTCCTGTAAATGCCGTTCACATGCTCTGTCGCAATTCACAAGTACACCGCACACACGCCACTGTGTATAATCCTGAATTAAATTACGTGTATAAACCTTATGTGTGTATAAACATGAGTTAACTGAAAATGATACATGCATGGATAACAACAGAAGTAGATAATAGGGAATTCCCTATGATCTACTCCTGATAACACGTACGTACCTTTACAATGCCATTCACGATTGCATCTGTAGACTCTGCAACAAAGCCTAAGGATGTGATGTCATAGAGCAGGTACTGCAGAAATCCACCCGGTCCACTGTGAGTGTGAATGCTACTCAAGCAAACATTCATTTCCGTGTAGATGTCACCATAATGTGTCTTTAGCTTTTTGACAACCTGCCAAAACCTAACAGCATTAGTGACTTACAATTGCATATATATCCTAAACAACACGAAAGCAATTTTTTTTTAAATGGTCAGAGATAGCGTGAAATAACAACTACTGTGATTGCAGCCAATAGTACAATAAAGGAGATCTATATTATGCAGGAGTGAATAGTAACAAATGTTTTTATTCACTCCTAATGATATATATATATATATATATATATGCAGTGTTTCCCCTGGCCAAAAAAGTCTATGTGGTAAATTGTTTTTGGTGTGTTTGCGCATTGCAAAAAATGGTGCAATTTGGTGCACTCTAAGCAGCTATTTTGGTGCATTATAAGCACTGTTCTATGGAAGAACAGTGATTTTCATCAGCGAAGCGGTGTTTTGGACAAATTACTGTGTGGCGGCTGAGAATTGAGCGAGGCAGCCCGCCTCACTCGTGTCAATGCAGGGGAAACGCTGTAAATTTATGAGGCAATTTATACAATACAGTTGATCTAGATACATCACATACGCAACTACAGTCGAACTTATATTTACAGCCAGTCAAGGGAGTCACTTTAAAATTGGCGTTGGACATGTGCCCATTCTCTGAAGGTGGTTTCACTGTATAACCCAACTGCCATTCAAGAAAAATGCTAAATGTGGCCTTAATAGACAGGTCAAAACAGGTATGTTGATTCTACAGAGGTGACTACTACTAGTACTAGCACTGGTTTGATTGTACATTCACATATTTATAGCTTTTAATACAGTAAGCACCTACCTCAATCTTGATGATCTGTGATACCATGGCTATATCAGCACTTACGTACACTACTCGGTGCGAATTAGCATGGTCAGCAATGATGAAAGCCCGACTATACAGACGGAAATGAATGCCCTGGGTATCCTGTTTTGGATTCGCATAACCCATCTATAGAAGCGAAGCGAAACGATATAATTAATAACACGAGAAAGATTTTCTGTCTTAAATATGTCATGTATTATGTTTTTGTTTTCAATTGATTTTGAGA